CCATACCCTAGAGCTCTTGAGCCACTGAGAAGGTAATGAGCCACGGAGAGAGAAAACAGCTTTATGAAATGACAACTAAAAATACAGTGCATTGATTGTATGTTTTTTATATTAATGAAATCTTTTACTTAGTTAAGGTGTACATAAAAGGAAGAAGGAATGATGGCTAACAGCTCAGGGTTTGGAACCCCAGTTATGGGTTTTCAACCCTGGCGCTACCATTGACTTAGCTGAGATATGGGGCAAGTGATCTAATCTCCTTGAGCTTCAGTTTCCTCATTTGTAAAACCCATCTCTCTGATTGCAATAAAGACCAAATATGACAATACGTGTAAAAGAAAAGTCTTGGCACACAAAAAAAGTCCTCGTACAATAAGCTGACAGTAATAGTAACTATTGTTATCATGGACATTTACTTCAACCACTTCTATCTGGATTTGGGAGAACAGGCAATGTTTACTTTGCAGAAACAGGCTCTTCTGATTCTATTGTTAAGTTCCATCACACATGACTATAATTATTTGCTTAATGTGTAACTATCCCCCGTAGACAATAAGATCCTTGAGAAAGGAGCTGTGTTTCTCTCATCCACCTTGAAACACCTGGTTAGCCCAATGCCTAACCTGTCATTCTATGGTGGTTACCAGAACAGGCTACATCAACTCCTGTGGATGGCAAATCGAGTCATAATACGGGTTTGGGTGCAAGGAAGACAAAAATAGGAAGTGAAAATGAGAGGTGTTCCTCAATCCATTAACGCAGGATTACTGTGAAGGTTACAGGGCTGAAATGTGAGGTGAAGTACAAAATGCGTCAGAATTAAGGCCACTAGGGGCGGTTCTAGTTCTGGTTCTCTCAATATGAAATGAAAGACCTGAGCAATAGCCTGGAGCCCCAGGCATAGCCAGGTGGATGAGAATAAGTTCTTCCAATAGTTCAGAGTACATTTTATTAATAATACCTTAGATTTTATGTTCTTTTTTGTGTGAAAATCTTGAATAATCTGTGTTTTAATGTCTGTGTAGAAGCACATTTCCCCTATTATTCCTTTCCCAAGTTCACATTCAATTACATACATGAATTAAAGTCATACTGGCAGCTTTTGATTAGTCCTATCAACTGGGCAGAATATCTGAGAGATGCTCCAAAGACAATGTTCTAATCTATTACCATAAAGTCAAAGTTCTGTCCTCAACCTGATGATCATGGGCCTGTCTGGTGTTAAGCAGATTCACAGCTTTTCGGAATAATGAAGACAAAGCTGGTCTAGGGCCAGCAGGCTATTGTTAACAAAAAACCTTCAACAAACAGATCATCTGAAATCTGGATAATCTTCTCAGGTGTTGAAGTCAGCGTCTTGGCATTACCAAAAATGAAGAAAGATTTCCAGGCAGAGATGAAGTTTCCCAATCAGTGTCAAAGGAGGTGTGCTCCATGACAAATTTGAGCGGATATTATATTGCTCTCGCTCAATCCTGTCTTTCAGTAATACGAGTCTGTTTTTGCCAGATCACGTACACTAATAGGTGTGAATTCAAGTCACTGAGGAGTAAGCCTGCTATACGTGTCTTTTAACAAAATAAAGAAGAAAAAGTTTCTGAAAGAGAAAGAACCAAGTCACAAAAACCCTCACCACCCAGATTGTTAAAAATTATTGGTGTAAACACGGAGTCTCTTAAAGACTTCAACCAGCTGGCACTATTTATTAAATGTTTGTCTTCGACGTGATTCACAAGGAATTCAAATGGAAATAATATTTTCCTTGTATTTAGTGCCTTAAAGAAAATCAAAATATATTTAAAAACAGGAATAAGTCAACAGCTTTTGATGTAAACCAAACTCATGATTCTTAAATCCCTTCAGAAAGTTTTATGATGCTTAAATGAATATAAAGACATAATTCCTGACATTTGAGCTGCCTGGGTGTTTTATCCTCTGATTTGTAACAACACTGCGTTCATGTGTGTGTGCTCTTTATTTTTTATTTTTATTTTATTTTATTTTTTATTGGGGAACAGGATGTTTTTCCAGGACCCATCAGCTCCAAGTCAAGTAGTTGTTTTCAATCTAGTTGTGGAAGGCGCATCTCAGTGGCCCATGTGGGGATCGAACCGGCAACCTTGGTGTTATGAGCACTGTGCTCTAACCGACTGCGCTAACCAGCCGCTCTTTAAATGAATTCATAGTGCCAAGCTGTGGTTTATGATTTCTTCCACCTTCACTTCTAATTGACCACTATTAATAATTAGAGACTTATTTTTAATTCACTGTGGTACCTGTCACTGGCAGCCTATTTTTGAAAGCTAAATAGTTTAAGAAAAATCTCAAGACTGATTCTTCCAGGGATATTCACACTAAGTAATACTAACACATAGAGAACACAGGAGAGAAGACAGCCTAAACTCTAGGCGGGGTGGGGTGGGGAGAGGGAGGAAGAAAAATAGAAAGTATCTTTGAATTGTAATCTTATCATTATGTCCTCCAAGTAGAAACTTTCAGTATGCTCATTCCTTTAGTTGTCTTTGTAGTAAAAGGAAGAGAGTGAATGGGTCTGATGCCAGCTTACTTATAGGACTTTTAGATGTAAGAGGTCAAATGATATGCATCTATGGCTTGGCCCTGTGCTGGTTTTATTTGTATAATCTTGTTTCAACATCATAAAAGCAGTATTTGGGAGAACAGGTAATGTTTGCTTTACAAATCCAGGACATCCTTTTTAGATGTATAACATGATATTTAATGAAGCTGCCTTTTATAAAACTACCAATTAAACACTCTTGATCTGACCAGCTCCCTTCTTTTTCACCGGTGCACTTGTCTATTCAGTCCTCTTTGGGGCTGTTTCTTGTACCGACTGAAGGTGTTTCTCTCCACTTACACCAGCCTTCTTCTGCCACTGTCTTTAATGAGAACAGCTGAAATTTCGGGGTTCCCAGAGCCCAATCAGAGCTCCAGTGCAGGATGAGGTGCTTACAGGTGTTCCTTGGTTCAGCTATCAACTTGATTTCCCAGGAAAGGCAGCACAAATGCGAGGAAAGAAGGAATCACGGGGCAGAAAGTTTTGTGCACATCACCCCTTCCCCATTGCAAACGCAGACCATGACATTGCCTCTGTAGTCAAAATAGGCAAGTAGATCATAAGTCCCTAATCTTCTATAGGTGTTTCCTGCTCCCTCTAAGCTGGTGGCTGGGACCACGCTGTTAAAACTACCTATCACAGCTGCGACTAACACCACACCAGAAGGCCTGTCCATGCCTGGATGGGAGTTCACACATAGCGACACAGCATGTAGAAAACGATGAGACAAAGCTCACGACAGGCACAGGCCGCTCACATGATGCCGTCAACATCATGGTGTGGCCTTGATACCTAAGCCTGGCCCTGGCCGGGGGGTTGGGCTGGGAAGGGAGCTGACCTTGGCATGTCTTTCTTACCTTCAGTTACTTTCCTTTCTCAGCTCCTCTGTGGATTCTGTATGATCAAAACAGACCCTTCCTACTCTAACTTCAATTTACAATAAAAAGCACTCTTAAGTAGAAAATGGCAACCATTAATTTTTTTTCCTTGCAGTGGCAGTCTATGGGTCAAAAAAGTTTGAGAACCACTTCTTCATTGGAAAAACAAACAAACCACAACCACTATTCTTCAGGAATAGGGTAGGCAAACACGAGAGTGCACATAGCCCCTGAGATTTTGATACACTTTTCTCATCCCTTATTTGTTTCTCTGGGTGAAGCTCCTCCCCTAAAAGATTTCCTCTGGCCCTTCATTGTGATTTCCTTTTTTGTCCTCAGTAGCATTATTTGTACCTTTGTATGTTTATCTTCGCCTCTGTTCCAGTCATCGGTAGAGATGGCCTGCCATCTAGGAGATTCTTAATAACAATCTATCACTAAACATTAGTTATTTTTCATTCATCTTCCACTAGGTTGTAGTGATAAGATGATGCTGTATCCCTGACTTTTCATGGGCACTGTAGAGGAAGGAAAACTTTTTTCCCTCTACTCCCCCAGGTTGTCCATTAGGGCCCTATAAATTAGACTGACAAATGAGTAAGATAGATTAACAAGAGAAAATCAGAGTTTATTAACATGTGCACCACACGTCCACATGGGAGAACCCAGTGATGAGTAACTTAAAGGGGTGGTTAGAACTTGGGCCTATATAGCATCTTAACAAAAGAGCAATCAATTTGTGGAGAAGTGACAAGACAAAGGAAAAGGACTTTGAGCTTCTGGGGAATGCAAATAATGGGAAGGCAGATATATGGGGAACTAGTGAAAGACAAAGGCTAGTCAGTCAAGTTTGGTGAGTAGGTTCCTCCAGTGCCATCTCTGGGCTGAGTTTGGAGTGGTCTCTGGTGATTAACTTCTGTCCTTCCTGGTGGAGAGGGGAGGGCAAATGTATGTCCTGCTTTGAGGCAAATGGGGGAAGGCAGAGAGCTTTTCTTGTATCTGCTCAATTGCCTTCCGCTCAAAATGATCCTTTTGCCAATGTGGCATGTTTGGAGTGGCATATTCCGCCATCCTTGAGCACCTTGCTCATGATTTGCACAGAGCAGGTGCTTAATAAACATTTTCTGAATTGAACTAAAGTGAAAGCAAAAGCCACCTTCCCTTTTGTGCCTAAATAATTTACCCTGCTTAAGAGTATACAGAGGTGGAAAGCTTTGCGAGGTTCAGGCAGCGCCCAGAGGAGAGATGCTGGCTGACCGGGAGGAGGCCTGGGCTTCGGTGGCTTGGCTCCTACTTTGCATGCAGAGATCCCGTCATCTGCCTTTTGGGATGTTGGGGAGATAGAATCAAGTGATGGCTATAACAACACTTTGAGAAAAGTTTAAAGGATTATACAGAAACAAGGTGTTACTCCTTCCTGTACAAGCTCCAGTAGCAAACATTTATAACGAGCATTTAGTAGATGTTGGCTAGTAGTGTTAAATACTGCTTACAACTCCCCCCCCATAAGTAAGCTGTAATACTTGTGTAATACTTCCTCACAGGTATGAATTAGGAGCTGCTCTGTTTATTGGATGGGCGGGAGCCTCACTCTGCATAATTGGTGGTGTCATATTTTGCTTTTCAATATCTGACAACAACAAAGCACCCAGGTATGAAAAAGAGATACAAATGACCTGTTAAAAAGTACCGTACTAGTCTCAATTATTATATGTGGGTTAAATTATAGACAGTTCATGTGATTCTTAGAGACTACAAAAATCCAGAATTGGGAAAATATGTTAAATATACTATTATGTTGAATAGGATATAGCTAATTATAGTTCATTTAAAAAAAACAAAAAACAACCAGCTCATTCTCCTTACATCCCGAAAGCTCTTTGTGTAAGTAGAAATGTGGGTCGAACACGGGGGCATATTCTTCACCTGGGCTTCATCATAATTTTCACATGGGCAGAAATTGCTGATGAAGGTCACTAGTTTCCTTGGTTCTAGGAAGATGAGTTTTCAGTGATAGTTCAGTAACTGAACCAATGAGCCAACCATGAGTTTCTTCTGTAGATTCTCTTTGTCACACCAGCTGTTCGGAAAGGACTTAGAAGTATTTGTTGGGGTGAGAGAGGGAAGAGAGCTAAAAGTAATCAGGGAAAGATTTAAATTTAGCTGTGACAGAAATAGGGGGGAAATGGTTTCTTCCCATTTTTATTTGCCCTACATGTAAAATAGCATCTACCGAACTGTGTTTTGCCTTTCAGAATGGGATACGCTTACAATGGGGCCACATCTGTCATGTCTTCTCGGACAAAGTTTCAAGGTGGAGGAGCAGATTTTAAAACCACAAACCCTTCAAAACAGTTTGATAAAAATGCTTATGTCTAAAGAGCACTGTGTCTTGAGTTTGTTGTAAAAGTGAACTGTTCACAAAATGATCCCATAAGGCCCTCCTATAATTAACACTCAGAACAATTTTTAAAATATGAATTGGAAGAATTTGTTGATTGTATGGATGTAAATGTTTTTACATAGTTATATACTAATCATGTTCTGTTGTGGCTTTCTATAAAAAAATAAACAGGTTATTTACAGGATTTGTATATATTTTATACATTTTTAGAACATGCAAAGTATTTAGCACCAAAGGGACAAGAAGTATTTCATAATGTAGCCTTGTTAACCATTCAGATGTTTCAGTCTTTGTCCCATCCTTATGTTTCTTCCTTCATTTATTTAATAGAAGGTATATAAGGAGGGGTGTCTTGTAAACAGTGTGGGGGCCATCTGAGACTATTCCTCAAAAGATATTTGGGTTGAATGGACATGTTACTGGCTGCGTAGAGTGATTTCTAATTTCTTACACCTCTCTGTCACTACTGTAATTCACAATGACAACTCAAGGAGGGGGTATTGAATGGGGTCAAGATGTTATTGCCCGTTACCTATTTAAGTCCACCATAAATAACTGCTGAGCCTTCTCTGATACAGGAAGCAGATTCAGGGGTGGAGCATCTGTAAGAGCTCAGCTACAGATGCTAGTCAAGGCTGACTGTGAAGCCAGCCAAGGACGTCCTGAGCCTGTGCGGACCTGCCTTCCTCAGAACTGACAAGCCAAGTTCTGGTGCCTCCTTAGGTCGTGTGTGTGGAACTAACTGGGCAGAGGAGAGACTTACCATTTTTCAAGATACCTAAATGGCTCCAGTGATTTCTGAACACAGACAATGACTTATTGCCAGAGCCAGCCCCTTTAAAAACATGCCTGTAAGGGCAGTGGTTATCTCAGGGTGTGCCGGGCACCACCCTGAACAGTTTTTACATGCCCTAGCTCACTTTATCCTCACAGACGCCCTCTGAGGTAAAGTACCGTTAGGATCCTGCATTGACAGAGGAGGACATGAAAGCAGAGAGTTCAAGTAACTTGCCACAGGGAGCGACAAAATAAGGACTTTGAACTGAAGCAGTCTAAGGTAAAATGGATAGTGCCAAGCTTTGGATAAGATTTGGTACCTGTGTTATCTGTGAGCAAGACACTTGCAACACTAATCACAGCACGGGTGAATATAACCTTTTCCTGAAGCGTGAAAGACTTAAAAGGGAAAATCACATTGTTTGGAGGTGCTCCTTGGAAAGAAAAGGAAATGAACAAGTTTGTTTCAAATACATATATCTTTGGAAACAAATTTGTCCATATATGTATATGATGGTCAAGATCATGATAGTATTTGGAGTATCTTTTCCAGGGATACAGATGAACCGAAAGCTATCAAGACAGGTTAGGTGCTACAGGGCAGTGTAGGTGCAGAGTTTTGTGAGCATGTTTTAAACAAATTGTTAAATTGCAAGCTTTGCTTGCTAGTGAAGATAATGTTGAGGTTGTTCTGAACTATTCTAGCTCCTGAAGAATTTAGGGACAGAAAAGCTCTGCCAACGACCAGAAAGAAGTAAGCTGTGCATCAGTGAGGGGAAATAGAAGGTGATAGTGAAAGGAAAATGAACAAACTAAGTCTAGTAGGACAAAATGATAGGACTACACAGATGAGTTAAAGGATTGGCTTTTACAACACAAATGTAGTGACTTGCTTTAAATCTTGGGTGTACTTAGCAGAAGTGCATCACATTTCCCCAACCCTTTTCATGGCAGACGCAAAACATGAAATTGAGAACCAGTTTAAAGCCTGTTCTTGTCACTTTCTAGTTGTATGGCCTTTGGCAAGTTACTTAATATCTCTCAGTTTCTCACATTTTTAGGCTAAGGATTACAATAATAACTACATCTCAAAGTTGATCTAATTAAATGGGCTAATAATGCATGTTAAAAAAAAAGCAAAACCCAGGTAGCTCAGGACAGTGGCCTGTGTACCTTCTTAGACACCATGTGTTTTTGTAAGTTGCTTATCTCTGTCCTATTAATACATGAAAGTTTGATTTGGCAGTTATTAAAATTTTTAGAAACTTACACCGGGGGTGCCAAAAAAATGTATACAAGTAGACACTGTGGTCAGTGTTGCTCAAGCAGTAGTTTGCCATAATCAGAAGTGTCTGGATGCTGATGGTAACCACTTTGAGCACCTCTTGTCATTGCAGAAGTCAAACGTGACTTGTGTTCATCTTTTGTTATCGGTATATATTATTACAATTTTAATAGTTTTTTCCTTTCTTAAAATGTGTATACATTTTTTGGCACCCTCTGTATATAAAGTGAGTACATTTGTGTAAAATGGCCCTGTGGGAAATTTTTAAAAGGGTAAGAGTGGACTATAAGTAAAAAGGATGGAGTGGAGGGGATAGAAACACATGAAACAGGTGTTCTAACTTTAGATCAGGATGTTATATGGTATAGCCAACAATGCAAGCTTGAATCCCCTAACTAGATAAGTTGAACTCAGAAATCATCTCTAATACTCAGCCACAGTCACAATGATGTAATGGAGTGCTTTACTTGAAAGGTTGACAAAATAAAAAGAGATCCCAAACCAACAAACTAGTTGAAATGTTACTTTTTTTGGTTTTGTACACCTGAAACTAATAATAAAAAAAAGTTACTTTTTTGGGAAACACAGTACAGATTATACCACAAAGTTTAAAAAATGCAGACAGTGTATATGAACTTTCTGACCATTGACATGTCATTGTTATGAATAAACTAAATTAGTTTTGAGGTATCTTATAATACAGGTTGGACGTTTTTAAAAAGTGAAAGAAAACCCCACATACACATATGAATTCAATAACGACTCAATCTTTTCTATTCATATTCTGATAAACTAATTGACACTTAAAATAGCTACATTTTATTCATAAAATATCCCAGGTAAAGATTATGCTGCAGAAATGGTATTTAAAGTTCTAAAATAATTGTTAAATAACAACATGCTTACAATGGCTCAAAGCTGCATATGGTAAAGGTACTCTGGAAAATGTATTTAACATGGGCCTAGCTATATTATAATTCTAAACTTCTATATGAAAAATAACCAATCTACCCTTAAGATATCACTAATTCCACTAATTCAATTTTAAGGACACCAACAGATATTTTAAAAGTTTTAATTCAAACTAAAACCTGCTATAATTTTTTTTAAAAATTCACTTTAAAATTAGTTGAAAAAAATACACTTAAACACGAGAGTACCATTTTGAAGAAAAACTTTCTATGACTTCAATGACACGTTATATTTAAGCAGCAGAAGTCTTAAACACCTTTATATGCTTCAAAATACTGTTGACAGTTTCATTTTTCAATACTGTGTTAGGTGCCATTAAAAAGACCCTTGTTCTTTGAATCAGCTTCTTTGTTACTGTAGGAAATACTGTAAGGCAGCAGCATTAGAATCGTGTTGGCAGATTACTGAAATACTGTGATACTGAAATACTGTTGGCATCTGGATGCTCTGACATGTGGGACCTCAGTTATACATCTGAAGAGTCGCTCCAATCAGTCACAGTTACTAAGCTGCTTTTCAAGGTGCTTGATTCATCTTGAAGTCCTGTGGAGGGAGGGAGAAGAGGAGGAAAAGGCCCCAGTGATTAAAGAAGCAGAGTCCAGCCTGTAAAAATCTATGACTTCACACTGTAATTTATCACTCAGTGTCTGAATTATTCACCAGTCCCCACCCCCAACTCCCACAGGCCGTGTAGGAGGCAACAATGCCCTCTGACCATGAAGTGGCCATATCACCAGGATACTCTTCCAGGGCCCTCGTATGGAGGCCCCACCGGCACATCCCCTTCCCTGCATTCAGCAAGGGCCTGGATGTGACAGTCCTCAATTCGTTTCTGTGGTGGTGGTTATTGACTCTGAGTGAGTAGGTGGTAAAGAAAGAATTACAATTAACAAGCTAAGTAGGGATTAAATGGTAAAAATAGGCTTTCGAGGGCAGATGAGCTTAAATATGAAGTTAGTTAAAAAGTGCCTTAAGCCACTGAAATAGTATGTTCTAGAGAATTCCACTTGAGTTTGACTCTAGATAGGTTTTTGTTTGTCTGTCTGTCTGTTTGTTTGTTTGTTTGTTTTGAGGAGCCCATTGGGGTCCCTCAAATGGCATTGAGAGAAGAGAAAGGAAATGTACTCAGAGAATCTGTCTGCTTGGCCCTGTGCACTTACAGAGTCACTGTAACATAAGCACGGTCTTTTTCAACTGTTAGACTCGATCTTTAGACATAGCACAAATGATGATGGTTACAGAACAGAAGGTCAATGTTATGAACAGACAGTGTGAAAGTAAAGGCACAGCTGACATGCTGGCGGAGAGAACAGGTGAAGTGAAGGGAAGAGGCAGCAATCGTTCATTTTACAAAGTGGAGTGGGCAAGAGATACTGCTGCAAATGCAAAGAGCAAAGGTAGAGGTTAACGTGTGTTAATTTAAAATTACAAATAGGGGCACAAAAATACCGAAGAGGGGGCATGAGATGTGTAGTGAGTGAAGAAAATGGGCCAATTCCTCATGTGTCTTAGCAACATGTCAACAGTTAATGTGTAAAGTTGGTAAGTCGAGAAATAGTGGTCTAACCCTGTTACTCACAGACAAGGAATTACTCATCAGAGACCCTAACACAGCATTGATGAGAGGTGGTATGGCAAAGCCCTCTGTATGACTTGACTTTTATTATGTGCAAGAATTACTTTAAAAAATATATAAATTACATTTTCTAATTTAAAAAATTTAATGTATCAACAGTGAAGTTACTGGGCTTATCCAGACACTAGGACAGCAAGAACAGTTTCAACTAATGGTTTCATTTATAATTCATGCCACTGGTTACAACGCTACAAGAGAAAACATCCTTCAAAGAAAATAAAGAAAAATATTCAATATGTAAACAGAATAATATGAGAAGACTTCCAGAAGAATGGCTTCATTCAAGTATATGATCAGAAATTTTAATTTCTATGGGGTACCTGCAAAAAGAGTATATGTGGGCATTTTCAAAAATAACATTTTTGTTTTTATAAAAAAATTTTAAAGACTAAATATTAGGCCTAAAACTAAATGAAAATAATTCATAAATATATACTAATTTTAGTCCTTACTAAAATAACATAAAGAAAGCATCAAGATCGTTGTTATGCCAACGAAGTGTTTTTATCTGATGATATATCAGCACAGTTTCATCAGATATTTATAAACATGAGATGCAAATAATTGGAAAATGGACTGAGCTTCTACAAGACACAATAGCAGCGAACCTTCTCCCTTTGGTCCTTTAAGATTTGATACACCCCAGGCACTTGGCATTTGAGTAGAAGTTGATTCATTTTTCACAGGTGGAGATTCTTTCTGTTCTTTCCCGGTTTTTTTCCCCCCCAATTTTTCTTCCTCTAGTGATGATATGTCCCAGTCATCATCATCCACATCTGCGTACTGAAAGAAATACATGGAGAATAATTACTGTTTCTTCAAGAAATGGCACATGTTAGAGCCCCGCAATCATTTTGTTGGCCAGACTCAGCTTATTACTTTTTTTAAGTAATAAAAGAAGAAGTTCAGCACCTCAGAGGACCCCTCATCTGGTCATTTCTAGAGTGCAATGAAATGGATCTGCAAATCCGTGTTTTGAAATTGGAGGGAAAAACCTCTTTTTTGTTTCTTGCCATGGAAATCTATGTTTCATAACCTACCAATCATGAGTTTAGAAAATTCCAGAAAAACGACATTTTAGAAGTAGAGTCAGGGTGCTCCCCAGGTAGGAGCTAGGCTGGCTTTGGAGCTTTTACTCTGTGATAATATCACATTTTACCATAGGAGACATCACACAAGGGCCCCACAGAATCCGCCCCTAACCGGAAGGAGCAGGCATCTCTACCAGGCCCTTTGTCTCTCAGTGACTCAGCTCTGTGTCAGAGTTGGCTTGCGTAACACAAGCCAATAGTCTGACAAAATGCTGTGGATTCCATAGATGAACAGGAGAAGAAAGAAATCTAATGTAAGTGAAAAATTAAGAAAAGGACGACTATTATTGGAAGATCCGGTCAACACACATGAGCTGTGCCCAGAAATAGAACGGGAGATCTCCATCCACAGAAACACTTCCCGTGGCCTAGGTGTTGGAGATGCTCAGAATGTGTTAGGGCCTCGCCTCTATTCAGGAAGAAGACCTCAGACTCTGCAGTCAACTCGGTTCACACCTCCTGCTGAAGCTTTTCTCCAACCAGCTCCAGCTCCCAAGTTGGGCTAAACCCTGAAAAGGCCCTCTTTTACTCCCAGGTCACACCACGGTAGCAGAAAAGCCCCTGGACTCAGATCTGGAGGCCCTAGGTTCTAGCCAGTCACAAGTTTCTGTGTACAAACCATCTAATATCTGTAAGCATCAAATAATACACGTGACAGGATTTTGAAAACCTGTAAAGCTTGATAAGCATATGCTGTATTATTACCAGTTATCATTCCAATATCTGATTCTCTATGGAATGAAAAGAAAGGCAATACTGAAAACAAGAAAAGGCAAAACGTCTCAACCTCTACTATACTAAATGATTATATTTGTTTTATATCTTAGTATGAAAAGTAAAATTAAGATGTATTCATTAAAAAATGAACTTCTCTGTGTGTGTTTAGCAAGTAAAAATGATTTCACCTTTAGCTCTTCTTTTAATTCTCTTTTGAGGAACGCTTCAGCAATATTAATTCCACCAACTGGCTTATTCACATTTCTGTGATTTGAAACCGTCTTTTCGACTTTTTCAGTTAATGTTTTAATGGAGGTTCCTAAACAACCAATAGAAAATAGGAAAAGTTTTCACAAAATGGTATCTATCTTAAGTTTTAAAATAACCTTACAAGCAACTCTGAGTCTTAAGCTTTGCCAATAGTTATATATTAATAAAATTAACTCAACTGATGTAGTTTTAGGGTAAAAAAATTTATATTAAATACTTATAATTCCTTTAAAGAAATAATGATCCTCTAGGCCAGAAGCAATGAAATTTCCATTTTAAATCAAAGAAGGATGGTCTCGTTCAAGTACTGATCAGAAACTTTAATTTCAGTGAGATGACTTGCATGAATGGAATATTCAAATGGTATTTTCAAAAAAATATTATTTTAAAATGAGTTAGTTATATTTTACATAATTATATAAATAAATGGTATACACAAATTATATACAATATAACCAATTAATTACATCTGATATGGTTAAAACATATATATTTTAAATTACATTAAACAGAATTTCCTTTTTAAAAAATGAACCTTCAGTACCACTTCTCTTCAGCAAATTAATAGTAGTCACAGACTTGGACCTTATATTCTTTTTTTTTTTCCTGGTGGACCCCCGCTCCCGGGTGGGGGGTGGGTCACCATATTGATGCCGAACTTAGTGCGGACACCCGATCGGCATAGCGCACTACAGCCCAGAACTCCTGGACTCAAGCGATCCTCCAGCCTCAGCCTCCCGAGTAGCTAGGACTACAGGCGCGCGCCACCGCGCCCGGCGGACCTTATATTCTTTAGAATTGCCCCATCTCCAAAAGGCAGCAGAATGAATGTATTCTCATAGTCACCCAGTGTTATGGGTTGAATTGTGTCTCTCCAAATTCATATGTTGAAGTCCCAACCTCAGTACCTCAGAATGTGACCTTATTTAGAGTTCGGGCCTTTCAAGAGGTAATCAAGTTAAAGTGAAGTCATTAGGGTGGGCCCTAATCCAATATGACTGGTGTCCTTAACAAAAACGGGAAATTTGAACATAGATGCACTCTCTAAGGGAAGGTGATGTGATGAAACATAGGAAGATGGCCATCTATAAGCCAAGAACAAAGACACAGTTCCTTCCTTACGGCCCCCAGAAGGAACCAACTCTGCCAGCATTGATTTTGGCCTTCCAGCCTCAGGAGCTGTGAGACAATAAATTTAAACCACCCAGAGTGTGGTACTGGTTATGGCAGCCCTAGGAAACTAATACACCTAGGCATCCCTGACCCCTCCTTCCACTTGAATATCAATTCGTTGCTAAGCCCTGTCCATTTTCCTTACGCAGCAGTGGCTTTTGGATTAGCCCCGTTCTTTCCTCGAACACTTCTCCAGCTCACACTGCCCCTAGTTGAGAACCACTGTCAAAACAACATTTCCAAAAGCATTTTCAATGATAAAAGCTCACCTGTGGGCTTGGGAGAAATATCAGAGTCTTCAATTTCACTGCCCTCAGTCCAGTCGGTGTCACTCTTGACAGTTTTCCTGCCAAAGCTACTCTTGCTTTTAGATGACTGCACAGGAAGTAAGTCTGGAGATGTGTATGCCTGGATGAAGTCCTCATCATCTAACTCGTCCTCTGAACTGAAGGGAGAGGTCCTAGGTAATAAAAATCCAAACAGAGGGCGCTGTTTTCTAAGTTTCAGGATTTACAAATGCTATGCCTCTTAAAGTGGTGAGAACTTTCGCAGGTAATTCCTAGGGAGCATAACAAACAAAAGCCTGTGTGGCCACAGAACAAGGTGGTGGCAAGGCCTAGGACTTACATCAAAAGGCTGAAGAATCATCTGGCATCCAGACCTGCCAACCACAGAGCATATTTAACAAAATGGACTGAAGTTAGGACAGTTCCCTAAATCCAAACTTGTATATTTTTAACATTCTTGGTTTTTACACACTTAAGAACAAATATTTCTCAGTAGGAAAAAGGCATTTTCTGCAATAAAACTACTCCATCTTTTGAAATAGTATCGTTACTTATAACTTAGTTTAACACTGCACCTTACAAAATGCTTTTACATATACAGTCTCGTTTGTATAATCACCCCATTTTAAAGTGAAATACAAGTTCAGAGCAGTGTTGATTCATTAAAAAAATACTCATTGAACACTTAAATTCCAGACTATGTTCAGTTATACTACACTATATGCCATGAAATAAGGCTCTCCCCATGAGTTTATGTACATGAAAAGTGCTTTTGAAGGGTAAATCATTATTTACATTGTCTCTACTATATTATATTATCATATATATATATATATACATACACACACACACAAAGACACATACAATGCTTCAATGAAGAGATTGATAGCATCAATTATCTCTAGAATAAGTCAATGACGAAATTCAATTATAAAATTAGTTTTACTCATAATTAATAACAATAATATACCTATAACTTATTGAGTACCCACAAGCACTGAGGCCATGCCCTTTTCATGTATTCTCATTAAATTTTTAGAACTATCCTGTGGGAAAGGCAGCATCACCCTACATTACAGATACGAAAACTGAAGCTTCAGGCAGGTAAACAATTGAGTCAGTGGCACACAGTTAATGACTGAGCCAGGATTCTTAGTATCCTAAGAAAGCAAGGTCTAGGGCCATTATCAACTTCATTATCAAGGAGCTAGAACACTAAAATAACATCTGACCACACTATCATGGATCCAGCCTTTATTAAAAGGCAACATCATTCATTTAATTTATCAAGGTTACTGAAAATTACTGGCCACTGAGAGGGATACTGGAAATGATTCGGGGGGGTTCCTACTTCTTAAGGGAGGCCACAATGTGATAAGTGCTATTAGCTTATGTAATAACTGATAAAAGAAACAAAGACACATCACAAAGGAATAACAAAGTATAATATTTACTAATGAGGGCTTTAGTTAACCACAATAAGTATATTAATTTACAAAGAAAGCAATGTTTGGTGAAAAGAATTATTTAAATGTCCTCCCCCGCCTAAGTACTCACGTAATAGTTGAAGACTTTCTGGGAAAATGGTCTTCTATGATATTTTTCTTACTTCTAGAAAACAAAAAAAAAACACTATTTCTAAACAGCACAAATAAATTATGTAGTTTAACATAAATTTCTATGGAATTGGTGATTTTTGCTTTTAATGTATATTAAACAAAGTGAGCAACAAGTCTCCCAGCACCAATGGGAGATGTGTAGGAATTACAAGTGTGATTCTCTGTTGGGTTAAATGTTGTGGGCTGAATGTTTGTGTCCCCCTAAAATTCGTACATTGAGGCCCTAATCCCCACTGTGATGATATTTGGAGATGGGGCCTTTTGGGAAGTGATTAGATGTATTCGGCGTCATGAGGGTGGGGCCCCCACGAGGCGATTAATGTCCTTATAAGAAGAGGAAGCGAGACCAGAGCTCACCCTCCCTGTCGTGTGAAGACACAGTGAGAAGACAGCCGTCTGCAAGCCCAGGGAGAGAACCCTCACCAGAACCTGAGTAGGCCGGCGCCCTCATCTTGGACTCCAGCTTCCAAAAGTGTGAGAAAATAAAGCGCTGTTGTTTGAGCCACCCAGTCTATGGTATCTTGTAGCAGCAACCTGAGCTGACAAAGATCATTAATAAATGTCAGGTTTGGGAAATACTCACTTTGGAACAGATGTCCTATCAGTAAAAACAGGTCTTTGTCTAACCAATTGTCTGTTTTTGGGAGGAAGCTGTATTGCCTTGGGTATTTCTCCAGTTGAAGAGGTGTCCGCTTGAGAAGCACTGTACCTGTCTGGAATAGTAGAGCCATGCATGAGTCTGCTTTGCATGAAAAGCAGAAGAAAAGTCTACAACACTGTTTGCTCTGGCATTGAAATGAGCAAATCTGTCTAGAGTCTAGAGCCCACACTACAGGGATTTTCTTAAATGTAAAAGTGAAACCCAAGACCTAACATTTAATGGTGCAAACAGTAATAGAGTTGCAAATTAAGTGCCAAAGTTTGTGAACCATTTCAAATTATGAAAGGGTTGTTGAATTTCACTTCCATCGGCAAAAATGAAATGGCAGCCGGTAACAGGCTCACCTGAAGATGCTAATGTTCTCTCCTTAATTTTACAGCTGACCTGATGTTCAAGGAAGTCTCGAATTTGCTGAATGTTAGGTAGTTGTCTTTCTCGATCATGTCTCGCTGATTCCACGGCTCTTAGCACTCTATTCAATTGATCACTTGGAATGCCACGTATATCCTTAAGGAATAAAATGTTAAGTTAATCAATTATCCTGGGAGGCTTTTCATTTCATGGACATTTGTAAGCATTAACTGTGCCAACCTTTCATCCTTACTGCTGCATATAAGGTGGAGGACGCCCAATATATAACACACTGTGCGGGCCCCAACAGGAGCTCACAGTGTACTGGGAGATGCAACGCGTGTGCTGATTATATAAGACTAGTTAGCCATGATTGGCTGTGAATGCACAGAAGGCATGTGTGTGACTGTGTATAACTGGTTAACCAACAGTGCAAGGTGTGTGATAAGGACTGAATGAGTCCACAAGGGCTAGAGGAGTTCTACAGAGAGAGGCTATCAAAGGCCCTAGTGGCTGGAGAAGGCTTTAGGGGGCCGGGCCCTGTAGGATGGATGGAGTCATACACGTAGAAACAAGGGAGTGGTCCAGATGGGTAGGGATTGTGGTGGGGGCACCTTGCAGGAAACACAGGCATTTGGGCAGAAATTGTCAAGGTGCTTCCAGTGGCTAATGCTACAAAGGAATGGGCCAGGAGATCAAAAAAGGAGACTAAATGCTGAAATGAAAAGCTTAAAGGTTATTCCACAGGTAAAAGAAAGCCAGAGGTTCTCAATTATGAAAATAGCATAATTACAGAAGTAATTTGAGAAAATTTATCTGGATTTGATGGGAATTTAGGCAGAAGGAAACTAGTTGAAGGGCTGTTTATTCAATAACAGTGTCACACACACACACTCCCATATCCCCTCTTCCCCTTCCCTCAGTTTTTCCTGTCATAGAAAGTGGCCCCACCATCTGCCCAGTTGCCCAGGATAGAAATCTCCATCATCAAATCAAGTGCCACCTTCAAGAAGAAGTTTTCTGCAGCCTCATTTATTCAGCCCCCCTCTGCTTATCCTTCATTTCACATTCTCCAGTCACTCGTCATGGACCCACCACTTGTCTGTGTGAGCAGCTGTCCAATGCCTGTCTTCCTATCCCCGGTAGCTGAATGGAAATAGCCAATACCGTACTAATATCAGTCCTTCCTAATTAATCATACAAAATTTAAGGCAATTCCAATCAGACTCCTAATAAGGGTTATTCTGGAACTGCAGAAGCTATTTCTGAAGTTCACTGGAAAACAGTATGGAAGAGCTGCCAAAGTTTTGAAATAAGAAAACTAATGAAGAAGGCATGGCCTACAGCAGACATAAAATACAAAGCAGTAGCTTTGTCAGCGTGGTGTTGGCAAAGGAATACAAAAAAGCAGGGTAAAACAGCTGAAAATCCAAAAAAAAAAAAAAAGAAAAAAATCCAAAGATAGGAATTTGCTATATGATAAAAATGCCACTTGAAATAAATGAGGGAAGAATGGATTATTCATCAAATGATTTTGCGACAACTGACCCAGGTGGAAAAAAGATTAGATCTCCAACTTATTGTTTCCTAACTTAATTGTTAAAGCCCACATAAACCAAACAACAACAACAGCAAAACCCAGAAAATCTATTCAAGCATTAGGGAAAAAATATAGAACGTTTTTATAATCTTGGGATGAAAAGAAATCTCCCAAATAAAACGTAAAACTCCAAAACCACATGCAAATAACCAACATGAAAACTACACATTCAAGAAACAATTCGCATAAGAACTACTGATTCATGAATGCGCTGGATTTCCACTGTCCTCAGCATGGCCAAAACCCACCTGCAAAGAGTCCATGTGGAAATTTAAAAGACTGACAACACAAAGAGGTGGTGAAAAATGTGAAGCAACTGAAACTCTCACACACTGATAGGGGTGGTATAAACTGGTATAAACACTTTGAAAAACTATTTAGCTATACCTACTAAAACTAATCATGTATATGCTTAAGACTAAGCAATTTCATTCCCAGATATACAGAGGATGCCGAAAAAATGCATACACATTTTAAGAAAGGAAAACTACATTAAAATTGTAATACTCAATATACACTGATAACAAAAGATGAATATAAGTCACGTTTGATTTCTGAAATTACAAGAGGTGCTCAAAGTGGTTACTATCAGCGTCCAGACACTTCTGATTACAGTGAACTACTGCTTGAGCAATGTTGACCAAAGTGTCCACTTGTATACATTTTTTGGGCACCCCCTGGTATATCCAAGAGAAAGGAATGCCTGTGTCCATCAAAAGACATGTACAAGGATGCAATGGCCAAAAAGAGCCCCAAACTAGAAATCTGAGCATCTATCAACAGGAGAATAGATAAAATATAGTATATTTAGACAACAGAATACTACACCACAAACTATTTCTAAATAAAACAATAGGTATGAATCTTATAGACAAAATCATAAGCAAAAGAAGTCATATACAAAATATGACGTGATGTATGACTTCATTCATTTGCGGCTCAATAACAAGCAAAACTAAGTCAGAATAGATATTACTTCTTGTTGAAGACTAGGGGATGATATTGAGTAATATTGAAATTCAAAAGGGAGTCTTCTAGGGTATTAGAAATGATTAACCTCTTGAGCTGGGTGGAGTTACAGATCATACACACACACACAGAAACATGTACATACAAATCCATATATACACATATGTATATATACAGGGAGACGTGTATACACACATACCTATACATATACCCACATGCATATGGACACAGATACATATGTGCACAGACAAATACACATATTATACATAAACATGCATATGTATGCACATACATACATGTGCATGTACCTATGCACACACGTATGTATATACTTTTGCATACACATACATACTGGGGGTGCCAAAAAAATGTATACAAGTGGACACTTTGGTCAGTGTTGCTCAAGCAGTAGTTCACCGTAATCAGAGGTGTCTGGATGCTGATGTAACCACTTTGAGCAGCTCTTGTAATTGCAGAAGTCAAATGTGACTTGTATTCATTTTTTGTATCGGTATATATTGAGTATTACAATTTTAATACAGTTTTTTCCTTTCTTAAAATGTGTATTCATTTTTTTGGCACCCTCCATATATGCACACATGCACAGACAAATACATACATGTTAAGTATATAAATTTAAATTGTTCACTTAAGATTTATATATTTTATGTATGTCAATAAAAATGTAAAAAGCAAAGAATATATACAACATGTTGTACCGGAATTATTCAATCTGACAACAACATGAAATACAATTTATTCATCCATTCATTTCACAAGTATTGCCTAAGAGCTATTTTATAATAGGCAACAACGTGGAGTTAACAGCAGAATGTAAGCAGCACTGCAACTGCCTAGATACAAGCCCTGGCTCCTTCATTACTAGCCGGTGTGACCTGAAGCAAGTTACTTAACCCTCTGTAAAATCGAGACAATATTGTCACTTACCTCAGAGATTTGTTTCTATGTTTAAATGAGTTAATATTTGTAAAGCTCTTAGAAAGGTGCCAGGCACACAGCGAATGGCTTCTAAGTGAGCGATAAATCATGTCCCATTAAGCTCCATTCTCCAAATGTGGACAAAACTGACATGCCTTCTTCCCTTCTCGGGTCCTTTCTTATTTAGAAAACAAAACTAGCAAATGTTCCAAAAATGAATGAACTTACTGCATTAATCCCCAAGGTTTCCAACTTCTCCACCAGACTCTGTTCCAAGACTGTTCTGATTTCTTTAGTGAGAGAGGGGTTATTCTTCAAAGCTTTGCTTAAATTGATCTTGTTATTTAATTTCTGTTCATTTTCCCTTCCTGAAATGAGGTTTTTAAAAATGTGTTCAAAAACAATTAAACATATATTACATTTCCAAGCAGAAAATGATAAAAAACACAAATTTGAAACAGCAAGTAAGCATTTGTAATGTTTTTAAGTTTGGGGATGTTTTAGTCATTCTGCACAATATATAATGCTTTAAGTATTGTTTTAGAACTTTAAGTTTCAAAACTTTTAAGTGTCTTTAAAGACTCTTTTTGATCACAACTAAATTATAGCTACATAAGTAATGCAAGAAATGCATTTCTAAAGAAGCACAATGGAAAAAACTTATGTAGAAGTTTAAGGTTTTCTTCTAAAATTATTTTACTATTTCCTGAATAATTCATCTCTCCTAAATTCAGTTAGAATTTATGTATCATTTTATGAAGAAAATGTTTGATTTATTTTAAATAAGTTTTTATATAATAAATTTAGAAGTTTCTATAAAATTTTAAAATGTGAAATTAGCCCTCTTAAAATATTCACCAAATGAAGAAGAGATTAACAGAAGTCTTAGGAAAAGTATATTTTGTTTAAAACAACCCATAATTAAAAACAAAGAAAAAAATAACAGGCCAGATTCTCCTAACATGTCCTTCCCTATTCCTTTTATTCACCGCCCCCCCACCCCCCCGCAAAAAAGTCTAGTTCAAGAGAATTTAGAGAAGGGCATAATCACACGACCTTGAAAAAGTTATGGCAAAAAACTTGAAAGGGACAAAATGCTGGGCAGTTTAGACCCTTAGTGAATGTCCAAAGGCAGATCTGGGAGAATATAACAATGATATTATCATTTTGGAGTCTCATCTTCTAATCTTCAGACAGGGATGTTTCACCCAATAGAGTTGGCACCAAATGCCATTGCCTAGGTCTGGGCTGCAGGCAGGTCCCCACAGACACTCCATTCTTCCCTGGCCTCATCCACCTCTCAGTAGATGGGACGGATGTTTAGGTACTCACAGCACCTGGATTTGTAGATCTTAAACAAAATGCCTTTGGTTATGATGTTTTCTAAACACCAATTCAATTTCAGTAGTAAAGAATATTTCTATTCATTAATAAATGGTTTTGCCGACAGCAAAATTAGTCAAATTAATATTTGTACATTACACAGGAGGAAAAATGCTACGTGCTGATATTTTCTGTACTTTGCTAAGTCAAAATGATAAAATTTTACATGATCACCTATGACTAAAAATCAGAAGCAATCTTAAATTATATATTTTCAGTACATTTGCTGCTCTTTTCCCACCATTGTTTTCCAATATTCTGAAACCACCTAAAAAAATCACTTTTGGCCTAGGAACTGACAATCCATCAAAATCTAGAGGCTGTTTCGCAGAGGTTGGCTGCTAGTTAGCCATCGAGTCTACAACTATCTAGGGCTAAAAATAAAAAGAGGTACCAAGAGACAGCCTGGAGTCATGGTACTGCCATTGAAATAGATATACCTCCTGCTCCAATTACGCAGAGATAATTTTTGGCCAATATCTGGGATATAACAGGAACTACACGGAAGCACAGGCTGAAGAAGAAGCCTGGGCCCTGTCTGCTCCGGGACATGGGGGCACATGCAAGGGTCAAGCGATGCCAAGAATGGCTTGGCTACAGCTTACGAGAGTCGTAGGCCTTTGATAGCAGTCGTTGAATTCACGTGCTGATTGGTCCGGGTTTACCCTCAACCCTGACGACAAGTTCATTTTGGTGACTGAGTTTCCCCCAATGACTACAGATTAAACATTTCCCTCTGTCCTCAAATTTGCTTTATATGTTGGTGCTTGCTTTGGAAAGCCATTTACAAATACTTAGAAAACCCTTGGTAAAAAAGACTCTTACAAGGCTGGAGCTGGCTGACGGAAGCAAGAGAAAGGTAGAACGGACAGGAAAAATAACAATAATAAAGTTTTTATGTAAAGGTGGAGTTAATCGCTAGAAAGCAAACAACAGCTGAAGATTTTAGTTAGAGCACCTATTGCTTACCAAGAGCAACAAAACAAAACTTTCTGGAGATCAGCATTTTCTTCAGTTAAAAATGTTAAAGCATACGCAAGCAGATGGCCGATGCACAACAGCCCACACATGTGATTAGTTCTATCAGATGAGCAATATACCATTTATGGTAAGCAAATCATTGCAGCATAAAGCAAACAGTAAAAAACAAAAACAGAAGCAGAATTTCTGGGTTGGAAAGGTCTTTATCATCTGGTAACGAACCTCCTCATTTTTCACATGAGGACACCAAAACTAGAGGTAAAAGAGACTTCCGCTAAGGCCGCCAAGCTACTCCTGCAGAGCCTGGGCCAGCTTGCCTCTCTCCATCACTTTGTTCTTTGCATAGAACTACGGAAAGCAGAAACCCTGGGCTTAATTCCAGCCCTGTCACTAATTAAACTCAATGACTTGAAGTAAGCTCCTAAACCCCTATTTCAAATTTCTGAATACTAAAATGGCCTCTAAGATCCCTCCTGGCCTTCACATTCCTATGTCCTATAAACAGTAAGATCAAGCAAGCCTCTACACAACTGCCAAAAAATAAGGATGAAGAAATAGTCTCATATGAGTTACTTCTTGGTTTGCAAGCCACTGCCTGAGGCATTAGCTAATGCTAATTAGCTGCACAGGCATTATCTGCAAAATGGTAGCACAAACTGAGGAATTTATTGGTGGAAATTAATCCACCACTAGAAGGATGCAGTCAGTTTCTGTAATGGTATACTTGGACTCTGGGATGTTTTTGGTGGTCCTCAGCCTTATCTTATCTCCCACTAGAGCTGTCTGAGCCCATGGAGGGTGGCAAAGATTATTTTCTTTCTTGCCCTAGTTCCCCAAGTGTGGCAACAACCAATGATGGTGTTTGCTGTCAATGATCCCAAACTCAAGCATCACGTGTTCTGGGTAGAAAAACTCGAAAGGAAACATGGGCAGAATGATATAGTGGGTGTAACCTGGAGCCCAAGTGGTGATGATGGTGGACAAATCAGGATTCCTCTTAGATATTAGCTGACTCATTTTTTAAATGAATGTGAACTATATGACCCGAGGCTCTGGTTCCAAAATTTTGGACGTTTTCTATGAACCTCCTGACATATTTTATAGATTCTTCAGAGAATACGATATGTTGTGTTTCAGACATCAATAAATGATGTGTAAGAAAGAGAAAGCATGTTACTTGAAAGCAAAATGAACTTACAAATCATGCGGATATTATGGATATGCCTGATTTTGTCACTTCTCAATTTGTAGCTTTGTTTAAAAAATTTTGGTAAAAGTCTAGAGAACACAGAAGTTATGAGAAATATTATGGCTTTACATATTAGAATATATATTTTACGTATCCTAACTATTGGGTTGTCAGAAAAGTCATGACGTATTTTGTCTATGTTTTTCAAAGGTCATTTATTTATATAAAGAACAAAGACCAATGATATATTGCCCATTTTGTTCAATAACCTTTTGCTATCTTTCAGTGAGCTTCATAATTCCTTGTTCATAGAAGGACCTGTCTTTGTGAAAAACTGAACAAGGTGCTGATTTACAGCCTCATCTGAATTGAACGTTATACCACGCAAGGAGTTTTGAAGAGAGCAAAACAAGTGGAAGTCTGAGGGCGCAAGATCAGGCGAGTATGGTGGGTGTGGCAGCACATCCCATCCAAGCTCCAATAATTTTTGATGAGTGATCAAACCTGTGTGTGGTCTCACGTTGTTGCGATGGAACACAACTACTTTACAATTAACAAGCTCTGGACCTTTCTGGATAATGGATTTGTTGAAACTGTCCAATTGCCGACAGTACACATTCCAATTGTTTGGTTCCTTGGTAGAAACTCGAAAAATACGATACCTTTAAAATCTCACCACACTGAGAGCATAACCTTCCTCTGATGAATGTCTGCTTTCAATGTCATTTGAGGCAAATCATCACGTTGGGACCAAGACTGTTTGTGTACCACATTGTTGTAAACAATCCACTTCTCATCACCAGTTATCAGTCGCTTCAAAATAGGATTGTTTTCCTGACATTTGACGAGTATATTGCAGATGTTTATACGTGCCATCAAATGAACTTCTTTGAGTTCATGCAGAACCCAAATATTGAGCTTGCTTAAGTATCCCAGCTTCTTCAGGTGGTCATGAACACTTGAATGAAGGATGGTCAATATTTCTGCAATCTCTCGTGTTGTGTAATGTGGGTTTGACTCAATCAATGACTTTATTTTGTCTTTATCAACCTCAGTGGGCCTCCCTGACCGAGGAGCGTCATTGAGATAAAAATCACCAGCACGGAATTTCATGAACCATCGTTGACACTGATGTTCTTGTAGAGCATTGACACTGTAAACTTTATGCAAATTTTCACAAGCTTGATGTGTGTTTCCTTTATGGAAGGAAACATTAAGATATGGCAAAAATGCACAGTTTGGTCTTCCATCTTCAACTTGTTGTAAAATCTCCAAAACTCAACCAAATCGCTCAATTTGTTTTTAGAATGAAGCTAGAACTATCAGCTGTCAAATGACATAGCAATAACATAGATGTGAATGACTCTAGTACTCCCAAAAATGAACTAGCGCTATCTGTTGCAAACATGCGTCATGACTTTTCTGACAAGCCAGAGCCCATATAGATATTAACAATTTGCTTTCTCCTAAACAATTGATATATATGGTAAAGCATTATTACAAAGGAGAAAATCATGATAAACTGATTCAAATCTAATTTTTTTTAGGAACTAGAAGTTTAGCATTTGAAAATATTATTAATGTAAACAAATTTCATAAGCCTCAAAAAATGAATAGAAAATAATTTTTAGAACTGCAAAATAAAATGAATAAGCAGTAATAATTTTAATTATCTCCCCAAACCAGTAACAGCTTGCAAATTCCACCAAAATATATTACTTTGCACATAAATATTCCATAGTCAGAACTTAAATATTATGCTTTCCTTTCTATTAAAGATAATTTTCAAAGTGGGCACTTCGCCCATTCATTTCACAGGTTCAGGGTATGAGAAATAACTACTATGATACAAATATTTTTGTATCATCTGACATACAACACATGTGTGTCAACTGTCATCTGTTCAGAAAATATCTGCATTGACATAAAGGCTTTAATTTTTTTTTCAAGTTCTCTGACACAGGAAATTTCTTATTCATATGCTAAGAATACAGTAAAGCAGGGCAAAAATATAACTTTATATTAGGGGAGTAAGGTGACAAAATACTATGTAGACTGAAAATATAATCCAAACCTAAACATCTTCCTTAATTTTGATATAGTGTGATAAAAAACCACTGGATCGTATTTTCAAGGCTTGGGTTTTATTTAAATATAATCTATGCAGGTATAAACCCTGATCAAGCCCTTTGTTACCTTTTTCTTCCTCTGAAAGTTCTTCTATTGGTTCCAGTATGTGCGATGAGAATGCCTGTTCTATTAATGAGGAAAAATAAGAATAGTACAAATAGGACAACAGCAAAGTAAAATTAGTTTACTGTCAAACAATTTTGAAAGATATAGTTCCATAGTATTTTAATCATGTGTAAAATAGCAAGAATTTACTGGGAAAAATATACTGAGGCAGTCGGTTAATGCTGCTCATTTTTTCATGGTATCTTCTCTTTCTATGTATTTTCTATGAACTCCACTCTCAGGAAATTATATTTTTAAATAATTAATTTAAAGTTTGTCACTCATCAACCTTGTGCCTGATATGATTCTTTTAATGCACAAGGACACAACTGCAAAAGATCTTCTTCAGTTATCTTTATAAATACTTTCCTTATAAAATATTTTGATCAGGTGGCTCAATAGAAAATTATGGAAAATATTTCAATTCCCAAAAATAAAAACATAAAAAAATTCCCGGGTCCCTGGGATTCCTACTTCTTGATAGCCTCAGGGTCTTCAAGTGGTAGGACCAGGATAGTAAAGGACAAGGACAGGTGGCCCTAGGGTCAGCAGCAGGACTAAGACCCATTTTTAAACACCTCCATGTCTCCACGTTTCAAGACCTAGTTCTGGAGAGTGACCAGAGCAAGGCTGCAGACAGATGAAGATGGGCTTTTCCCAACGCCACCCCAGACCAGTGGCAGGGGAGATGAGGCCTCTGGGTGACTTCCTAGGGAAAGGTTACTATGTAGACACAAGGAAACCTGAGGGAGACATGGATAAAGCCAACTGGCCATCCTACCAATAAAGAAAAAGTTCCTTCATGGGGAAAGTCAGGTTCTGGCTAAAGGTCAAACCTTGGTAGTCAGGCATTAGACGTGGAATGAAATGCAACCAGGAGGTCTGGCTTAGGGGGGGCATGGTTCACCCATCTTTAGCTTGAATACTGACACAGGGCAACCCTCAGGGAGCTCTCCACCTGCACCCACAGGACAGAGGTCATTTCATTCCACTACCAAACCCCAGAGTAGGTGAAAAGCAAGGATAACAATGTACAACAATTTCTGAGCGCTCACCAGGTTGCCAGGCACAGATCTAAATGTTTTGCATGTATCAGTTCAGATTAAATACCCACTACATTGAAGGTCTGAAGGTATTTCTGGTACTCTATTTTAGGCATATACAAATATACACAGACAAACACACACATACAGAGGGTGCCAAAAAAATGTACACACATTTTAAGAAAGGAAAAAACTGTTTTAAAATTGTAATACTCAATATATACGAATAACGAAAGATGAATACAAGTCACGTTTGACTTCTGTAATTACAAGAGGTGCTCAAAGTGCTTACCATCAGCATAATTTTAATAGTTTTTTCCTTTCTTAAAATATGTATACATTTTTTTTGGCACCCTCTGTATATACTGGTATATACAAATAACTATACATGTTATATTTAGGTATATATAAATAAGGTGTTATAGCTTGGCTAAGCAACCTTAGTCAACATATCTAATAGTGACTGTATGGAAGAAATACATTTTAAACTACTTTCAAGTTAACTTTAAAAAAAATTTTTTTTAAACATTTTATTGGGAAATTGGGGGAGGGGAACAGCGTTGGGGAATCGGGGAAGGGGAACAGACAAGTTGCTGTCCTTTTGTTCTTCAGTCTAGTTGTGGAGGACGTCGCTTTACTGGCCCATGTTGGTATTATCATTGCGCTCTTCCCAGGTGAGGCAGTCACTCGCCGGCCATTAGACAGCCACTCACGGCAGCTCACGAAAGCGCACGCCAGCTGCCAGCCAGCCCCGCTGCAGCCTACGGCCATCGCTGGTGACTCACGGCAGCCCAGCTCCAGGTTGAGCTGTTGTTCACCATCTTAGCTGTAGAGGGCAGCTTCACTGGCCCTCATGTGGGATCTGAACCAGGGCCCTGCTGCTCATAGCTGGTGTCCCAAGCCACCTCTTAACCAACATGCCACTCGGCTGGCTCTCAAGTTAACTTTTGGATCACAGTCTATTAGTAAGTAGGAGTCCACTTTGATTTTAAACAGGAACATGGCTAAGGAGCATTTAAGTCCATCCATGTACCACAACTGCTGAACATCAAACATGTGTTTTCAAAGTTGTTATTCAGCATTAAGATTTAAAGTTATACAAATAGACTATTTTAGTAGTTTGAACTGCTGAAAATTGGACTTTTAGGATGATAATTAATTTCAGGTGTTTTAAGTCACATGGTTTTTATTTTATTGTACTTCATGAAAACAACAAAAATAAGGTTATGTGGAAAAGTTCTATAAAATCTCAAAAAGTCATCAAATGCATGTTTATTATCATTATATTGCAGGGATAATCTTGTGATTTATTTCTCTTGAGTCAGGATAAACTGTCAAAATTCTGACTTTTCCTGCTGTGGTGCATAGGGCAGGGTCGTGGGGGAGGGGTAGATCCTGAACCCGGGCTCCTACTACAGAGGCTAAAGGAGTGAGGTCAACCAGACCCCAGCTCCCGAAACAAGCAGGCTGATGTCCCAAGTGGGGAGGGAAGGGACTGCCATTCTCATGCTTTCTAAGCCACAGGGCCAGCCCTCCAAAAGTCCCAGTCCCTGTCCTGAGCTGAGATCTCCACGGGGATAGCTGAAACACTGGGAGGCTTGAGTCTTGCCCTGAACTTGCTGACGGCTTCCAGAAAAATCCTTCTATCAGTTTCCTAACATTACCTCCTTAAGAAAATCTCTCACATCTCTACTCGGTCCTTTCTCCCACCAGCCTACTTTGTTGGACTTCAGCATCCCTTACTCTTAAAGCTAACTTTTAGCCAGTACCTAAAGGCCCTGCCCCGTTCGACCCTTCCCACAGCCCACCGAAGTAGCCATTATTCTCCCGTTTTGGCAGGTGAGGAAACCTAAGCCTATGGTTTCATGAATCGACTGTGAATCCAGACTGCCTGCTTCCAAAATCCAGGCTGTTGGCCACGACACCATGATGCCTCCTTACTGGTCCTCGCTGGGTTTGTCTTCTGGGTTCTAAAAACAGTACTTCAGCCCATCCAGTATCTGAGCTCCTCACGTTCTGCCCTTTTCCTCACCCTTGTCCCCCAATCACTTCTCCAGCCTTTCCACCAATTCCACTGAACAACTGTTATATCCACTCCCTCTTGTTTCATTATCACACCCCGATTCCTAGGTGAGGAATCTCACATAGACTATTACTAACATCTCCAACTGGTCTCCCCAGCTCTGATTGTTTGAACACACTCTGGTCAGGCTAAGCTCCCAAAGACCCGATCTCCAATCCAGGCATACTCAACCTCAGGATATTCATCAGCTACACAATACCACAGGAACAGCCCTGAACAGATGTAGTCAACTCAATGGTTGCCAGGTACAGTCTCGACCAACCTTATTTCCTTCAAATCTCTTCTGCATACTCTATGCCCAGCCAAATAATTATCCTGCACCATTAATTCATATCTAGCGCTTTCCTGCTACCTTTTTCTTCTACTTTTTGCTGCATCTCAGCTGAAGGCAGCAGCCTCTCTGCACCCCACATGCCCTTTCCTGGGGCAATCCATATCTGATAACTCATCACCTCAATCCATGAAAATTCTAAAGTGTCATCCCAGGTCTGAAGCTCCTGGTAAGACCTGCCGAGGGCTCCATTGTAGCCGAATCTTGGTTTAACATCCCCTTCCTCTCAGTCCTGCTTCTTTCGCAGCTGTTGTCTGAAACACTGCCCAAAAAACCTCCCCTCTGCAAATCTCCACCTGAGCTTGTTTCCCGGGAAACCCAACCTAAGACAATGAGTAATCCTGACATTTTTCATGGTAAAGAACTTCATCAAGCTTTTAGATGGAACAAAAGGAAAGACAGAGAGGTAATCGGGCTAATTAATGTTAGGCAATACATGACTAACCCTCCCTGCGCCCCCACCCCCAGCCATGGCTCAGTGAGCCCCAGACAAGCCTCCTCCTCGCTCCTGCCCATGGAGATGCTCACAAATCGGCTTTGATCCCAATCCAAGGGCTGCAGGCCCCGTGCCAGGTCTGGCGGGCATTTAAAACTAGCATTTCAATCCCAGAAGATGCCAGCAAGAGTCATGCAGCCCTGACCCACTCAGGGCAGGGTCCATAAGCAACACACTGCTTTAGAACCAACAGATTCGTTAGGACCCTTGAGTTAACCCCAGATAGGAAAGCATAGGTGTTGTTGTGTGTCCTTTATCAGGCACCAAAAATATAAAACAAAGAAAATATGGACCTTGTGTAATGTCATTACAGAAAGCTAACTAGAACAAAGTAGACAAGAAAAGAAAGAGAAACCAAATGAAAGTTGAAGTACAAAAGAGAAGTGGCCAGCAATGCTTTACAAAAATCAACCCCAAAAAGGGAGGCAACAGGTAAATTTTACACCTGACATACAATAATATGAATAGAGAATAATGCCAGAGAAAATTATCTTGCATATTCAATATTAAAGCAAATTTAGATAAGTCCAACATATATCGTATTTGTTACTGGTCCAAAGGTTAAAAAAAACTAAAAAAACAAAACTCCATGTTCTAAACATTTATAAATAATAACATCTAATATGTGGAGAATTTATGCATTACATATTGTGAACACATGCTCAAGGGATCTGATCCACCTAAAATGATCTTAGAAAAAAAAATATGGGGCAATAAATACTTCATGAGTAAGTAATTCAGTGAGTGAAAAGGATAATTACAAAAGCCATCATATACAGACCACAATACTTATGAAGACAAAAAAATCTGACTTGACCGATCATGGATTTAAGTCTAGTTAAAAGGCTATAAAAAACAAATGTGGAATGAGGTAATCATTAGGTAAAACAGGAAAAAAGATGGTCCCCCTCCCATCTTAATTCATTTGTAATCTATAGCAGATCATAGGAAAACAACATATTTTTTAAAATCCTACAAAAAGTATAAGCACCTCAATTAGGTAAAAGTAAAATATGGCCACAAATATTCACCCTATCTATTGGAAGATGCTAATCACAAGTATCACCCCAATGGTCCAACAACAGAATCCTGGCAGCAATTTCATCCAGTGGTTCCTACTTTTTTACTTTGGTTTCCATCACATGTCTTTTCTAGGTTTTCCCAACCAATCGCTGAAACTGTTTGTTTTAAAAAGGTGACTTGCTGCCACATTGAAAGTTATGAAAACAATCACATATGCCCTGGGGCATATGCTGGTTGGCTGGTCTAGTAGAAAGTCACCCTCTTACCCAACACCTACTACTTTCCACCAAAAATCATAAACAATCAAAGTAGTACTCAAAGTTAAAATCTCTGCTCGTGAGTCAAGCAATGTGAACATTTTATGCAGTATGACTTTGGTGGGTATATTTGATTTACACTATTACATAGGAAGACTGACGTTTTATTAACTGTTTTGCATAATTACCCCCACAGAAGAGCACTTTCAGTTAATAAGTTATCTAACTCAGGGTGGAAACGACACATAAAAAATGCTGAGACTTTGCTGAAACTTACCATGTGCCACTGTTAGACTTGACTTAGCATCCAAAGTCTGTGGGGCGGGAGCATTCACTGAAACAGCACAGAAAAAAACCCCAAATCTCTTAGGGTTCCACAATGAAAAGCGTAAGCACTTGAACATGATGATAACCAAATACTCCTCAAATTAGTCAAGATATATACAGACCATAAGGGACAAATGTTTTAAATGACAAAGCTATTACCAACTAATCTAAACCGATTTTTTAATAATAGCTTTATTGAAATATAATTCACACCCTTTTAAAATATACAATTCAATGGGTTTTAGTGTATTTATGGACTTGCATAAAGAGGAGCAGAATTTGCCACCCCAAAACATGCCTCTTTGGGATATTGATTATTTTAGGCTGGTTAATTTTAAGAAACAGCAAACCAGAGAGAACCTCTGAAAACCCAGTAGAAGTTACTGGGTTTGGAAAACTGTAGCCCATGGGACATACCAGCCCACCGCCTGTTTTTATAAATAAAGTTTCATCGGAACACAACATTGTTCCAGTATTGTGCCACATATAATTAAAGTGTAAACAATAATAATTGAGTGCCCTCTAACCTTTCCATCCTTCTCCAAAATGTATTTTTTTCTTTATTTCATAAGATATAAGTCCAGCTTCTACTCTCCCCATCGCCCTGCTCTTGGCTCTTAAACTACGCTCTCCTCCTCAGCACCTCTTAACCTCCTCAGCTTCCAAAAACAACCTTGAGAGTCCTCAAGAAGCATCTGAGAAGACTGAGCGGTTACAACCATTAGCATTTTCCCGTCCGTTGTGCCAAATTCCCAAACACGCTCATCAATGTCCTTTCATCATTGCATGGTGCTGGGACCAGATGAAAAGCATTGCTTGGTGCCCAGCCTCAGTCCAGGCCCTCCTCCCAACCCCTAGTATTCAGATCCCTGTTCACACACATGCCTTCTCTTGTGCAGGATCACCTGCTCCTTTATTTCTTCCACCCTTCCACTTTCCTGAATGGATACAAAAATATCTCAACTATTTAACTATTGTTAAGAAAACAATCTGTCCATGTCTAAACTGCACAGATTATGCCTGTTGGGATTAGAGCCGAATCCTGACAGCTCTGGGAGACAGCTGTGCTGAGCTGAACTCAAGCGAGTGACAGAGGGAACATCGGTCCAAAGCCTGCAGCACCGAGTCTGGGTGATACCAAAATGTGGTGGCCACCACATAGTCTCACCTTCACCCAGTCTATTACCGTGGGAACCCTAAAAGTACAAACCGGAGAATTGCCAACGAATTTGTAGTCATCCCTGTGTTAGGCGAACTGCAAAATTATAGGTATGGCTAATAAATCCCCACCAAGTCACATGGATGTTTACAATCTTAGGTTTTAGAACTAGGTCAAAGCCAGGAATCAAAATAAATCATTATGTAATCTCCAAACACTGTTTTCCAAAAAATCGTCTCTAAAAACAATAAGCGAAGTTATGTATTGGTTTAGCACTTTAAAAATATGTTTAGAACCCTGAGCTTATTACAGAAACTTACTAGGTACAGCTGGGCCAGTTGACTTAGATTCAAAAATTTGCCAGGTTGAAGGATTCCCTGAAATAACAAAATGATGAATTAATAACAAAAATCACAAGCCGGCGCTTATCCTAATCTTTCCCCCCCCCCAGAAAACAATCAACAAAATTTAACAACACATTGCAACTCACCCAATAAAGATGTTTAACAGAAATCCTTATAAAGCCAACTTTTTTTAAAACCACTTTTTAGTTAAATATTTACTATCTAAGTAAATATACAGGTATTCCTCTATCTGCTCTCATGCTAAGAGAAGTTATAGGGAACCACGGCCCTTCCCAAACCTTTCTCTCAAAACAAGAGGGAAATGAGTGTGTAGATTAATGTACCTCCTGTGGCACCTGGAAACAGAGGAAACCCAGCTCATACACCCATCACCAATCCCAGTTACTATCTCTCAAATAGACAAAGATGCCTTAAGAGCCCCAAGACATGCAGGAACCAAGACTGGGACCCCTTGGAAGGGGACCAGGCAGGAGGCAAGCTTTATGCTTTATTGTGAGACTGTACATCTGAATCCCAGTCTCCCTTCCAGACTAGCTCTTGAATGATACGGAAATGGGTGGCTATCATTGCTACAGTCAGTAGGTTGCATAATACCTTCACCACACTTAGAACAAACCTTTAACCCCAACCAACTACAATTAAGAATAATGCCTCAAGCCTCTATAGCATTTTAGAATTGAGTTTAATATCAATAACAAAAGCTAACACTAATGAATGTTTAATAGGTGCACTTTTCAAATGCCCTCCCATGTCATCCCTGTAACAAGCCCATGATGTAGTTACTATTAATATTCCAGCTTTAGAGCTGAAGAAACTGAGGCGGAGACACACAAAGCTATAAAGTGCCAGAGATGCAAGTTGGGCCCAGCCTGTCTCTGGACCCTGTGCCTTTAATCATAATCCACCTATTGCACATGAGTCCAGAGGTAAATAATTACTGAGCATATATTATGTGCATAACAATATCCTGATAAAGAAATACAGGAGACCATTCAATAATAGTTTAGGTATGTAAAATACTTCAACTTGCTGGGATGTGGTAACAGATCTCCCAAATTAAAATAACTAGAGGAATGCCATCTGAGCACCCATAAAACATCGGGGCCCCACATTCTTCTGATGCCCAGCAAATGGTTAGGGAGGACCGCCTTGCCTCCAGCACCAGGATCCCGGTCTACCTACCTTTGGGTTCAATGACACTGTTCAATGGTTTACTGGTAAACTCTTTAATCTGCAAAGAAAAACAGTCTTCTAGCGATACATGCTTGAAATTAGATAGGGACATACTGGATAATGGACAGATACTGGACTTAGTAATTTAACCTTTTCACCAAATCCTCCAAAACACAAAAAAGAACACACGGACTTTAAAGACAAAGAGGCAAAAGTTTTATGAAAGCAGCACCTGGATTGGGCTGCTTCTCAAAGAAATTAGCAAAAGAAATTCTTATTTACCTTCAATTTTTTTTTTCTGAATTCTAATGGAGTAAATCTGCTCTACCATATTTTAAAATACCTTTTAAAAAGTATATGATTGGATTTACTTTTACAAACAGCCACAGGGGAAAAAATATAGTCCATCTTCTTTATCTTCCCCAACTTACAAATGTTCTAAAATAAAAGCACATGTCCTTAGATAGATTGCAGTGCTTCAAGAAAAATAGTGCCTCTATGTAGCCCCAATACCTGTTGTCTCTGAGTGGTAATCAGTTCCTTCTGTTCCTGAAGCCTCTGCCTCAGTTCATCTATTCTTTTCTTGTAGGAAACATTACTCGCATTTAGATCATCTATCACTGAGGTTCGAAGTTTATCTATATATGACAGGAGCTGGAAAAAAAAAAATTAAGACAGGCACCAGTCTACAATGTGCATGTAAAACGTCTTCTGCAGTCTCTATGGACATGCCCTGCTTTCTTTGCTGGTTTTATGTTATCTGTGCACATTAAGTCACTGAGTAAATCTTTGAT